AGACTCGATAAGCAGATTCAAAATTGTACTCAGGTCTGTTAAAATGCTGTGGAGCTTCACCTTACCTGGCAAGCACTGAAAAAATATCAGTGATATTAAAAGGATTGCATTTCAAATTTACCTGTAATGCTAGGTTTTACCCATGTACAAACCAGCAACAAGAATTGATTTTACTAACCATGTCCATTGGTTGTATAGGTCTTTCTACTCTACAGGTTATACTGGACACAGCAGCCGAGAAAAAATGGGTTGTTACAGCAATAAATGTCGGAAACCTAAAAGATGAAAGGAAAGACGAAGCCTACCGCTCCCTGTTTCAGGTACAGTTTTTCTGCTCATACAAAGCACTGAACCATGTTGGCTCTCACTCTATTGTTAGAGATTAGGAAGATGCACAAAAACAGACACCACTGTCAAAACGTGCCACATTCAAAGATTCAGTTCTGACTGTGATCTGAAGCTCAGTAGTATCGTTTCCACAGGAGATAGTGTGGAGCTTCCCTGTTATGTAATCCCGCCAGAGTGGCTGACGTTATGTGGCATAGTTGCCTGTTCTAGTTCAACGGTGCAGTGATAAAGGCAGCAGTGCTGTGGAAACTGGACAATGTTAGATACAATAAATGATAAAAGAATGTGTGTGTTTTAATGTGAATGTAAATATTGTCCCCAGATTAGAGTGCATACACTAGTTCTACCTTCAGCACATAAGGTCCTCCTTGTGTGAAACAACAGCTTTTGGTGCATTGAGAATATCTCATGAATTGAGTTGTTTTTTTAAAAGAATTTGGTGCTAGCTGTCGGGGAAATAGGTATTTTTACACTTAAACTATCCACAAAATGACTTTAAATTGCAAGAACCAGAGAATGGTAATTAAACTACAGCATGCAGCTGGATGACATGCTCTCATCCTACAAGCAGGCACTTAAATACCAGCCTGGAACCTTGCTGCACTTCAGGAAAACACCTCTTTGTGTTTGCAGAAATATGATTCATACTGCAGACCTACACAATAATAGGGACTTTGGTGTTGAACACTGTGAAATGCATTTTTAAATTTGTTTTTTAGGACCTTGAGATCCGTAAAGAGCGACGCATCATCCTGGACTGTGAACAAGACAAAGTCAAAGACATCATGGAACAGGTCAATTCCAGTCTTCTCACACTGCTACTACTTCAAGAATGAGTCTCAGTATCTGTTTCTGAAATCCTTCAATCCATTCATTTATCGAGTAATTTCTAGTACATTTGAATGTCCAGGTCAGAGATAGTGAGAGAAACAGAAGAACACAAATTTATTCAGTTGCATCATCACGCTCTTCACACAATTTTCTTGTGCTATAAAGGATATATAATATATACTTGATATTTTGAATGTGTCCTGGGATATACTCTTAGCCTGAAAGGGCCAGATTGACCTCACCAAGGACATATCCATGAAGTGTCTAAATTTTAGGCCTGGTTCATCTCAATTGGTTGTTTTAAAGGAGTAGAGATCCAATCTTCGAGCTATCACAGTTCCCGTGCTTGAACATATATACTCCAATTGTGGGACAACTGCTGCAAACAGACTCAAGGGAGGAGGCCAAATATAGATGCCCAGTACATAATTTCTAATGGTTATATTAAAGAAAGGACATGGCTTACAATGAGGTGTGAAATACCAAAACCAAAGAGTGTTCAAAACAGGTAAACCAAGTAGGGAGCAGGCGAAACCCATTATCCCGATAAAATTCTAAAGGCACTTGGGTGACTGTGAAGAGAAAAAGCTTCATTTTAACTGGAAGAGACCTCTAGCAGAACCAGACCCAATGTGGGCGGCCATCGGCCTCCACTGGTTGGGATGAGAAGAATGGAAGAGAGGTGGGTGGAAAACAAGGGAGAGGACAGAGAGTGGGGGTAGAGAACAATTGTGTAACCATAGTTGTTATAATGAAAATAACAAGAATGATATTGTTAGATGTATTTTATGTACGCACATATAGTTGTTGTTAAATAGTGTCAGATCTATTGGAGAGAAAAAAATACAAAGTTAGTGACGTAGTTAAATCAGTTGTGTGTGTAGGGGGGTGCTCATTGCACCTGTTCCAGCCCTAACTATGGTCTTTATCAAAAAGGAGCGTTTTAAGTTTAACCTTCAATGTAGAGATGGTGTCTGCCTCCTGAACCCAGAGTGAGAGCTGGTTCCACTGGAGAGGAGCCAAGTAGCTGAAGGTTCTATCTCCTGTTCTACTCTTACAGACTTTAATATATATTTATTATATGACATAAGATTATATGAGCTGTGCATTTGACCTGGTCAAGAATATATGTAGCCATCTTTATCGGAAAATGGAAACAATCTCAATCTATGACTGGCCAGTGTGGGCTCATCCATGAGGCCCATGTGGACCGTGGGTGGGTCCCCAACACCCTTTGGGTCCTGGTGCATTGCACTGGTTACACAAGGAATAATTATGCCAGTGACGAGGATTTAAAGATACCAAGAATTCATAATTTAACAAAACATGGGTGCAGCAAAATGTGACGTTTTCTTAGCTCATGTAAAATATTTGCTATATCAGTTTCTGACCTGGTTAAATGTGTAACATAAACACTGAGTCAAGGTATGAATACTGCCTGAGCCTTTTGATGCATGGAATTGTAAATGTAGGTAAAACATGGTTTTCACAAGAAAGCAACAACAGACTTAAAAATACAGCTGTGCATTTGAATTTTGTTGTCATTGTTGTTGCTGGATGTTATTGACATACCCTGTACTCTTTTCCCATCAGGTTATCACCATAGGCAGACACGTAAAGGGATATCACTACATCATCGCCAACCTCGTGAGTTACTGGCTTTTTCTAGCTCAGTCTATCCACACACTTCTTATGGCTGATACGAAACTATGGTTAAAAGCCAGTTACTGTTAAAAGGCACTTTGCTGGATCAGGTGTTTAACTGTTCTTGAGCAATTGGCTGGTGGCAGAAGTGGGAGTACGACATAATATGGTCTTGATCTGGTACCGTGTATTACCAGGCCAGGATCACAAATATCAAGACTAAGGATGTTCTTTTATTGTTAATAGCAGCAAATGTAGGAAAAAGTCAGAATTCTTCAATTGAAATGATTTTCTGTTGTTCTTGTTGCAGGGTTTTGTAGATGGTGACCTCTCTAAAATCCAGTATGGTGGAGCGAATGTGTCTGGGTTTCAGATAGTAGATTTTGATGATCCTGTTGTGGCAAAGTTTGACCAACGATGGGAGGCTCTGGAAGAGAAGGAATATCCTGGAGCTGATACACGCATCAGAGTAAGATTAGGATTATTCGTAGTAAAAATTGCTCAAGAAACAGGAATATATGTAGGAGAATCAGCTTGAGCTAAGGATCAGATTAGCGTGAAGCACTGCTAACATTGAGTTTTTCCATCTAACAAAACTTATATTCATCGTTATTCTAACCCTATAAAAATAAGACCATTTATGTAAAAACATTTTTTGTTATCTTGATTCACATTTAACATTGCCAATGTGTCTCTATCTTTCAGTATACCTCAGCCCTTACATTTGATGCTGTCCATGTGATGACTGAGGCGTTTCGCTTCCTCCATAAGCAGAGAATAGACATGAGTCGTCGTGGCAACAATGGGGACTGTCTGGCCAATCCCGCAGTGCCCTGGGCACAAGGGGTGGAGATTGAGCGTGCCCTAAAACAGGTAACCATGGATCAGCAGACAAAGATAGACTGACCTAGTTTTATAAAAGCTTAAAACAGTTAGTGGTTAGCCTGTGTGCAGGATTATATGGGTAAAGAAGCTGAAAAGAGAGAAAGCATTTACAACTCCTGAGTTTGTCTACTGTTAGAAAGCCCTGATGATGAAAGGCCATACTCTACTATGTAACATGAACACAGTATAATAGAGAGGGAGTTGGGGGGCATTTACATGTTTCTTGTAAATGAGGGTCATGTTAATTGACAATGCTTTCAAGACAAAAAAACACCTGCCAAAACAATTTTCGTTTTCAGATTTACTTTAGGTACTAGTCTGCTTCTACGACTTCTTTATTATTATTTAAGCTAATAAATGTGCCTAGATAAGCATTTTCCACCATTGATTAAAACTCATGAATAAAAACATGAATTTGTGTGTGTGTGTGTGTTAAATGTATTTGTGTATGTGTTATATGTATTTGTGTGTGTGTGTTATATGTATTTGTGTGTATAGGTGCGAGTGGATGGGTTGACAGGGAACATTCAATTTGACCAGTATGGGAAGAGAATCAACTACTCAGTAACAGTAATGGAGCTAAAGAACAACGGGCCAGTAAAGGTAACTCGAAAATCAATTTGCCATCAGTATTACCATGGCAGCATGTGGCTATGTGGAAGATATTTAACCTTTGTGTGTGTGTGTTTCTAGATTGGCTACTGGAATGAGGTGGATAAGATGGTGGTGACAAAGTCAGACCTTTACCCCAATGATACCATGGGGATGGAAAACAAGACTGTCATTGTTACAACTATACTGGTATTTATCAATTAATTCAACACTTGGAATGAAAATAAGCAAAGTTACTCAGGCTGCTGGGTGGATTTTAAGAATAAACAATGTCATGATTGGATGACCCCTGACACTGCCCATATGTTTAATATGAGATGTCATCTATTGATGAGGAGTATTCAGCTGCAACATGCAGCTTCACCTTTTAGATGTAACTAAATTCTACACACTGAAAAATGTGTGTGGCTAACCCGCACCTTTAATCTTATATGATCCACACAGAATAGACTGGAATCAACTATTTCCATACATTTTATTTTTTTCATAGCCAGAATAATTGTATATGAACATGGGCATATGCCATGGAAATCCAATAACAGGTCAAAACAAAGTGCTGTCTCAAAAGTCCACTCTTAGGGAATGACTGATCTATGCTAATGCAGGTGAATCAAATTATAAGGTAAATGCTCAGTTTTTCCTGCTTTCCCTCCATACTGTGGCAATAATGGTTTAGGAAAATGACATTTGCCATTCATCTGCATTATTTCATGTACAAATCAAAAGCACAGTGCTTCATGCTACTAGCAGTGGTCTGTATAAAACCCTGCCAGAATGCTTTGTTATTAAATGAATAGTTAAGTTCAGTAACCTCACTGCTATATGCTGGTTAAATTAAGTGCATCGTGCATAAATCAGCAATAACGATGTGACACTAGCATAATAGCTACTGAGAAACTGGCAGGTGTACTGGTAACTAAGATAATACAATCATAATTTTTAAATTTTTATTATGGAGAAAATACTTAATTTGTGCTCGTAATTCGCAAGGCAATATTAGTCATTTTCACAGCCCTCGGTTTGAAGTGTGGGTCTGAAAAATGTCTGTTTCTAGGGCTTTATAGCCCAAACACTTGACCCTGCCACTCCATCCCAACAAATATTGGGACACACTACACACGAATGTGCAAAACTGAGGGGTAGGTCTACGGGGTAGAGAGAGGGGTGAAATGGGATTGAGCCTAAGTCATTAAATGCATAAACACTACTTAGCAATATTTTTTTTTTCAGCTACTAAATTGCACTGCCCTGGAGAACGCTATTTCATTCTACACTGAACAATTTTGCTGTTTGGTTAGAAATGACATAAAGTTCTTGAATTGAATTACACACTACATAAATGCAAAAGACTGCACTCTAGATGTGGTGCAAATGAAAAAGTACTAAAAAATGTTTATTGTTGGATATCTGAACATTCCTTCACATGAAAACATATGCATGAACTAGAAAACCTGCAGCAAAAAATATAATCTGACCTATATGATTTTACAGTAAGCAATGTGAATCATTCATTCTGCCTCAGCATTATGACTGTGGGCCGGGTCAGACCACAGGACTTCATCTACATCACAGGCACTCCTCTCCCTTGCTGAACAACTGGAGAATACATTTTTCCGTGCTGATAACATGAACAGATCCAGATAGAATAGATCTAATAGATCCTATATCATCAGACACTGCATCCATTGAGAGGAGATTTTCCTTGGTATAGGGTTTCTGTCATACACTTTTCACTGCCATGCTGACAAAAATTAACCTTCAGGATTTAGGAACGGAGAGTATAGTGGAAGGCAAATAGTGAGAAAATAGTAATTGATAAAGCTAGAGTAAACAGTTTGTGGCATAATGGAAGGTAAATGAAATGAGGAATTATTGTCAATAATGGTGATGACCATCTGAGGAGACGTATTGTATATCAAGTTTATAGTTTAGTGTTTTGGAAATTTAGAAAAACTATATTAAAAATAAAATATATACATATATCACTATTACTATAAAGTGATAGTCAGAGCGTAGTTCAACAAAAAAGAGGGCATGACCTATTAGCTCATACACAGATTGTTTATGTCTCTTATAATTACGTTAAATTGAGTTATGTTTAATGCATGAAAGTAGTAGAAGTATGTTTGTGTATATCTAGGAAGCCCCCTACGTGATGTTGAAGAAAAATGCTGAGTTGTTTCAAGACAATGACCGTTATGAAGGTATGTATTTATACTGCATTGTGCATGTGCATGTAGGTGTGTGTGAGTGTGTGTGTGTGTGTGTGTGTGT